CTTGACGGCGGCGGAGCCCGAGCTGGGGAAGCGGAGCGACCTGAGTTCACGTGGCTCCTAAGCTGCGGAGCTCAGGTCTGACTCCCGAGGTCAAGGGTCTGCGGGGTACCTGTGTCCTGGGATGATGCCCTCCCTGTCGCAGCTCACACCCCTTTTCAACCCCAGGCAGTGGGTGCGCTCCTACCTGCTGGGCCTGCTCCCCGGAGTCCCCCCTGCTGAGCTGGGTCTCCGCTGGCCTCCCACAGGTCCCCCAGCTGCCTTCTCTTAGAACACACCCCACGCTGTGCTCCACCACCTGCCTCCGCACCCTGACCTCCTAGGCCTAGGGGGCTGGTGGGGAAGCGCTTAGTAGTCTCTGGGTTCTCAGGCCTGGTAAGGGAGGGCACACAGTGGTGCTCAGAAGGGTTTGCTGAAGGGATGAAGTCATCAAGAGATGAGCACCAACACTACAAAGGCCCTGTGCCCGCTGGGAGGCAGCCCCCGGAGAGGCAGTGGAGGGAGAACAGGAGACCTGAGTTTCAGTCCTGGCTCTGCGGCCAGGGTGCCCTGTGACCCTGGTGTGGCCTTCCCCTCTCTGAGCTTCAGTCTCCCGTCTGTACACTGGAAGTGCCTTGGTCAGGTGTCCTTCGAGGTCGCCCCAGCTCAACCACTGGTTCTGTGCTTGCGGGGAGTGGACGGGGAGGCGGGCAGGGGAGCCGTCCCAACACGGCACTGGCTCTGACCCTTTCCCTCGGCCTGTCCTGGCAGCCCTGGGGACCTGCCGCGGAGACGAGTTCCAGTGTGGGGACGGAGCCTGTGTCCCTGCAGTCAAGCGCTGTGACCAGGAGCAGGACTGCCCGGACGGGAGTGACGAAGCTGGCTGCCTCATGGGTGCGTGCGGTTGGAGCGGAGGGGCAGCATCCTCCACAAGCGCCCCGGGCTCTCCCCAGCTCCAGCAGGGAGAGCAGAGCTGGCAGCTGCCTCCCCTTGGTCCCCGAGATGCATCTTCCCCCGAGCACTGTCTGCCCCCACACCACCCTGACCCCCTCCCTGGGGTCCTAGTGGCGCCAGGACTAGATGTTTAAGGACTGCGTGAAAGGGCACTGCTGGAAGTCCAGCCCCACCATTTGTCCAGGTCCAAGTCTGCAAGTGGCTTTTCTCACTTGTTCCCAGACTGAGCAGAGGTTGTCTTCCCCAGGGAGCCCCTACTCCTCAGATGGCTCTTCTGGTCGTCATTCACCCCTGCAGGAAGAGAGGCCCTAACCTGCTGGTCATCCCTCACCCCTGCAGGAGGAGAGGCCCTAACCTGCTGGTCATCGCTCACCCCTGCAGGACTAGAGGCCCTAACCTGCTGGTCATCAGGGGAAGTGGGCAGTGAGGCAGCCTCCCCTCCCAGGCCCCTGGACATAGGTCCCCCCAGGAGATGCTCAGTCCAGCCCCCGGAGTGTGTTGAGCTGATGCTTTTCCCTCCCTGGGCCCTGGTACTGCAATATCAGGTACAGAGCCAGCTCTGCCCAGCCGCATGGCGCCTGGGCCTGATTGGCCTGGGGTCCTGCCCTGTGAGCAGAGCTCCCACCCGCCCTTCACTCAGCTGTCTGTCCTGGGCCACCCTCTAGAGACGCTGGGGCTGGAGCTCTGCTCACCCCCCTGGGCCCAGCCTCGCCCTCCCTGCTGAAGGCCTCACAGGAGCTGTCCACTCTCTTGTCTGGCCCAACAGAGTCCACATGTGAGGGTCCCCGCAGATTTCAGTGTAAGAGTGGCGAGTGCGTGGACGGCGGGAAAGTGTGTGATTTTTTAGTACCTGTCTGCACCCAACTGCCGGACTAACCCCCCCACGCCCCTCCTGGCAGCCAGGCCAAGGCCCTCGCCTGCCCCGGGCACCCTTTCCCCTCTGGCCCTCTCTCTGGACCCCGCTGTCCTGTGGCCTCTGACGGAGCTCCCTGCTTTGGGGCCCCTTGTCCTGCATCTCTACAAAGAGAACGGCCTCTCCTTCCCAGCCCAGCTGCTCATAGACATGCTTCCTCTCACAAACCCAGTCTCTCCTCCTCCTTCCACATGCCGACCTCTGAGTGTGTGCTCACGCTGGAACCTTCTCTCTTACTCCGTGTTTCTGCCCTGCTGACCTGCAGGAGGCGAGGTGGGGAAGAGCAGGCAGGTGTCCATCTGGCTCAGGCCAGGCCTGGGTGAGGGCGGCATCATCCTGAGCCCTGAGGAGCTTAGACTTCCTGGGACCCAGACTCACAGGCTGGACTAGAGTGAGGAGCAGGAGATGGCGTCCTGATGGCTAGAACTGTCAGGGGGGTTCCCAGGCTGAAAAGAGCAGAAGTCTGGGCTGCAGGTGGGTGGGCATCTCAGAGAACAGGCAGAAACCGTTTCTGAGGTCAGGAGTTTGGATGGAGCCTCCGTCAGGCCCTCCCTCTCTCCCCGCTTCCTGGCAGACCCGTTGTCACCCAGCACCTCCCGCCAGGGCGCTCAGAAGAGCTTCATTCTCTGGAGCACCACAGGAACGAACAGCATGTTGCTGCCCCTGTGGAAGGTTTTAAAATTGATTTTGAAAGGAAGAGGAGCTGGGTGAAGGTCTCAGCCTGCACCTGAGCTTGCAGGTGACAGACTACCTCCCCCTTCCCTGCAAGGCCCTGCCAAGAAAAGTCCCAGAAGAAGGAAGAGGATAGGGAAGCAGGAGCAACTGAGCCAGCCCCACCCAACCCCTGCCCAGACTGGGAGCTAGCCAAGGGCCACTAACCCACTAAACTCTCTTCTCTCTCGTCTTTTGCATGACACGCCAGAGAAGTATGTACGCATGTGTTTGTGTCTCTGTGCTGGTGAGAGGCCAGTATCTGTATCCATGGCTCCTTCTCTGAGTCAGGCAAGGGAATTGCATCACGGACTCTGTGTGTGATCCCACCTCTGTGTGAGTGTGTCTGTGGAGTCCACGGGCCTGTTTGCCTCTGCACGTAAGCTGGCGAGTGTGTGCATGCCCGTGTGCACAGGCGTGTGCATGCCTGTGTGTGCAGGTGTGTGCATGTGCTGGGAAAGTGTCACTGCCCTTCCTTCCATGGGGGACCCGAGGGACCTGGGCCCCTCACCCCGCAAATCCCCCAGAAGAATCACCTCCAGGCTAGATAGAACAGGGAAGGCCCAGAGGTTTCCTGGTGCTCGATTTCCAGGGAAGGGGGACAGGGACAAAAAGAGCCGCCACCCATTCTCACCCTGACCACCTCCGCCCTGGAGGACTCTGCTCTCCCGCTGCCCCTTTCCAAGCCATCCTACACCTGCCATTCCACCGGGGGCTCCTGTAAATACAAGTGTTGAGTTGCTGCTCCCTGCAGAAGGAGAGAGGATGTGAGTGGGTGATGAGTGAGGCAGGGACTGAGTCGGGGAACAAATGAGTGGGTGGTGCTGAGGGAATACTATGGTGTGGGAGAGGTCAGTGAGGGCTTGGAGTGACAGCAAGATTCCTGGGGGGGGGGGTGCTCCACCGATATCACCCCAAAGGTACCATGGCTTAGCCCATGCAAAGGGGCTGGGGCTCCCAGGGCTGGGCCTGGCTGAGTCCCTCCCAGGCCTCTCCAGTCATGGGGTTGCTGTGGTCTTGTTCTTTCAGCTCTACCAGCACCTCAGGGAAACAGGAGGAGGCCCAGGGGTAAAGGGGAACATTCCCCAAGCATGGCTTAGGCTGGAGGTGGGGCACCACAGCTGTGCATGGCCTGGGGTAGGCAGCTCAAACCAGCTATTTGCATGGTCATGGCTGGCTCAGCTCAGCTCTGCTTGGCATGGCTGGAGTGGTGGTGCATGAGCCTGGAGGGCAGAGGGGTGGTGGCGCCTTCCCTTGGCTTGCAGAATTAACCTTCTGTGATCCTAAAGCTAAGAAGATGCCGTAAGAACTTGCGAGCCTTGGTCCTGGCCTCCCTGACCTCCTCTAGGACCCTGCCAGAGGTGATGAGAGAGTGGATGGCCAGATGACCTCCTGGCATCCCTTCATCCTTTGCAGGATTTGGTAATCCCAGGACCCGGCCTGTGGCTAAGCGTAGGAATAGACAGGTGCTAGAGGAGAGGTGAAAAAATCCATTGTAGTTCATGGTAGGAGGGCATTGACTGAGCAACAGCTCAGTCTAGAAAAAGACCCTGGGATCTTAGATAACCACACGCTCAGTACGGGGAGACTGTCCAGACTTCTACACAGTGGGCTAGCTCTGGGCCCTGTGCAAGTTGGACGTGGGCACATGGGGTATGTCCAGAGAAAGGGATCTGATTGGTAGGGATCAGAAATCAGTGTTTTAAGGAGCTTCTGAGGGAGCCATTAGACTCTGGTCAGCCCCACACGCAGAGCTGGGAGCAGGAGCAGAAACCACAGAGAGGCGGTCCTGCCAGGAGGGACTTTGTTCCCTGGGGGGGAAGTGCTGCTGAGGCTGCAGGTGTTGAAGCGAGGGCGTTTCAGAGGGGATTGCTGGGGCATCCTGAGGGTTGGACATAGTACATGCTGGCTCTTCCACTCGGAGGCCATGAGGAAGGAAGAGCTGGAAGAAACTTGTTTGTGAAAGGAAAAACCTTAGGCAGCCTAGCGGCCTGCAGCCTTGCAGAGAGCCCTGGCCTGGGAGGCAAAGGACTCGAGTTCTGGTTCCACTCTGTCCTGTCTGTGTCTGGCCTGGAGCAAGGACCGCTCCTCTCTGACCCACCTCTTGCCCAGGCACCTGGTTGATGAGGCTGAGGTTCAGTGAGGCCACAGAGCATCCTGGCTCCTCGGCAGTCCCGCTGCCCTGAGGCCCTGCTTCAGCCATGGCCCACCCCTACCTGGCCCCCACCCCAGGCTGGGCTCCTGGACCCTCAGGAGCCCGTGTCTCTTTCCAGGGCTGAATGAGTGTCTGCACAACAACGGCGGCTGCTCCCACATCTGCAATGACCTCAAGGTCGGCTTTGAGTGCACCTGCCCAGCAGGCTACCGGCTCCTGGACCAGAAGACCTGTGGCGGTGAGCCCCTCCCCTCACACCCCCAGACAGAGGCAGAGCTCCTGCCAGTCTGACCTCTGCGCCTCCCCACAGACATAGATGAGTGCGAGGACCCAGACGCCTGCAGCCAGATCTGTGTCAATTACAAGGGCTACTTTAAGTGCGAGTGCCACCCTGGCTACGAGATGGACACGCTGACCAAGAACTGCAAGGCTGTTGGTATGGACGCCCCAAGGTGTGGGGGGAGGGGAGCTCTGAGGAGGTACAGAAAGCAGTGTGCTGCCGTATCGGTGAGGAGTGGGTGTGCACACACAGTGCTAGGAGGGTACATACACGTCACACACGCTGCACTGCACACTAACGCCCACACAGACACTACATAAAGCCCCCAGTACGGCCCACAGAAACAGCACATGGACAAACTGAACCATGCCGACTGTCCACACAGCATAGGCAGCCCACACAAAGACCTAACTGGTCAGTTCAGCCAACTGTATTCATTCATTTTATTCAGTCCTTTGTACTGGACACCAAACGTGGTAGGCACTAGATTCAGCAGTAAGCAAAACAGACACACATCCTTGTCTGCCCTCACGGAACTTTCATCCCAGTGGGAGAGACAGACAAGAAACCAGATAAATAAACAAAATGCAGTGCGTGGCCGAAAGTAATAAGGGTTAAGGGGCAATAGAAAGCCGGGAAGGGGAGAGGGAAGGGCAGGAGGGCAGTGGCTTGCCGTTTGGGTAGAGTGGTCAGGGAGCCCTCCCCTTCATGAGAAGGTGACCTGTGAGTGAAGGAGTGAGCCGTGCACTGTCTACAAGAACAGCAGCAGGAGAAGGAAACGAAGTGCTAAGGCCCTGAGGTAGGAGCATGCCTGGTTCCAAATGCCAGTGAGAAGCTAGTGCAGCTGGAGCAAGGAGGACCGGAGGAAGTCAGAGAGGTGACGCGCAGATCACAAAGGTCTCCCCCTCCCAGTGAGGGGTGACTCTGGGTTCCACTCTAGGTCAGGGAAGCTTCCAAGGGTTTTGAGTAGACGAGGGGTATGGTGTGCCCTCCATATGCAGTAGTCAGGAATGTCTAGGTCACTGAGGACCTTCCTGAAATCTAATCTTCAGTCCATAAATGGGTTTTGTGTATACACATACATAATCTGTGTCTTATATTGCACACATCCCACCCCTGCTATTGGCTCAGGATACAGTGCAAACTCTTCACCCAGCTGATAGGACACTTCATGGTCCGGCCCCTGCCAACCTCTGCAGCCTTATCTCTTATGGCCCTAAATGTACTCCACATAAACTAAAGACTCACTCTGGCCTCCCCGAGTCTCCTCCCTCCAATCTCACCCCAGCCCCGGTGTCTGTCCTCAGTCATCTTTGTAAAACACTTCATGCTCACGTTGCCCCTTCTTGAACGATCGCAGGGGGGCCCTAAGCGAAGGAAGTGGTAGTTGCTGGGGAGAGATGCAGTCTAGGTGGAGGGGACAAGTTCAGCAAAGGCCCCAAGGCAGCAAAGCAGTGGTGGCTAAGTAATGATAGGTGGTCTGGAGGTCGGAATCACCGTGTGTTGGAGAGGCGAGTGATGAGGCTAGGCAGGGAGCTGGGGGTCGCACTGCCTTCGGTGGGAGCCTGAGGAGGAAGTGGGGAGGATTGGGGGAATTTGTATCTAATAAACAGAAGAAAAGTCCTGTTATGTGTGGTGTCTTTGCATCTTAACGCTTTTTGTAACAATGGTTTCATCTGCTCCTCTAACCTGTGAGGTAGGACTTGTCACCTGTTCTACAGGAAAATGAGGCATTGCCCAGCAAACCAGTGGCAGCGGCTTGGTCTCCAGGTCCTCACTTCTTGCCCTGACCCTTTCTCTCTGAACCTCTCTGCATGGCAGCTGGCAGGAGCCCGTCCCTAATCTTCACCAACCGGCACGAGGTGCGGAGGATAGACCTGGTGAAGCGGGACTACTCACGCCTCATCCCCATGCTCAAGAACGTCGTGGCGCTAGACGTCGAAGTGGCCACCAATCGTATCTACTGGTGTGACCTCTCTTACCGCAAGATCTATAGGTGAGCAGCCAGGCCTGGGGGGGCGGAGCTGATAGGGGAAGAGAGGAAGGGCGGCCTCTGTGCCCTTTCTGCCCCTCGAATTCCCCAGAACAGAGTTGGGGCTTAGGAAGGGACACAGAATCACAGTGGCTATGGAGCTACAGGACCCCTCCCCTCCCCCGACCCATACCCTCTGGCCTGGCCGGAGGCTGTGGCTCCATTGGGAGAGCAGCTTTGAGCGCCCCCTGGCGGCCTAGTAGGGCCATGCCAAACCCAGGAAATGCTCAGCCAGGGCAGAAAGGAAGCAATCCCTGCCTTTGGTGAGGGCTTTCAAAGCAGCTCACAGGCCTGTGTGTTGGATCCTGAGGACTCAAGGTGATGCAGATTCCTGGAGAACCCACTCACAGTACAGTGACACCCATTGTGATGATCGTGAGTCATGGGGGGATCGCAGAGGAGGCCTCCGACCCCATCAGGGGGGTCAGGGAAATCTTCCCGATGCAGTACCCCCAGTCCAGCCCTTCTCTGGGTCTGTGACACCAGCCGGTGACCTTCGCACTCAGGAAGCTCCTCACACACTCATCCTCT